TGCACAAAGCAGGTATGTGGCTCCAAACAAGCCGTAACCCTGAGAAGCGCATTTCTGTGAGCAAAGAGCCAAAGGTTGGCCACCCCTGAATTAGATGACATTTGGATGAATTTGAGACCGTATTAGGAGCACAAACTGATGTGGTAAAAAAAGCCTGAGAAGGGAGTGAAGGAAGTGGCTAGCTCAGAACATAAGCCAATGGTAGCAGACTATTACAATTGTTTAAGCAATAAAAATATGGGGATTTGTTATTAGAAACTTGAGACAGGAAGAGTTTATAATCTGAAATGGCAGTGAAGGCAATTAACTCTGATACAGGAACTAGCAGTCAGGATAGAAGCATGGGCAGATTGTAGGGATTAAGAGGGGGCAGGAAGAGGAAATAAGAGCAGGGTGATAGGCAATGGCAGAGAGAAGTCTGTATTACGGACACCATTCACCACACCACAGTATTTACTAGAACCAGAAGCCACAGTATTGTCCTTATTCAGAATGGAAAAAACAACTCATACCCTGGTGAATTTAACTGCTGTGTGTATTAAAATGTACAGTTTTGACATGTTGCTCACCTTTCACCTTTAATTTTATCATTTTTTGTGTTTTAATTTATAACAGTCTCTTAAAATACTGATTAATCTGAAAATCCTAGATGTAATCTGGGTACAAACAGACCAGGTAGAGGCACTCAGAAGTGTAGTTCTGGCTGGTGGCATGCTACTGAGAAATGAAATGCAATGATGCCTTTTTTTTTTTGGAAAAGGCACTTCAAAAGCCTCAGAGGTTCCATGCATACTATAAATCATGAAGTATTTTCAGCAGCAAAATGAAACTAACATTAAAAACATTTACAAAACAACAAATGGTCTGGTAGCACTTTACAATAAGAGGAAAACTGCATGATACTGATTAATTTCATTCAGCATATTTTAATAACTGAAATTTACCTTTACTAAGGAATACTCTTGTGCACTTGCAAATGGGTTTGCTCACCGGAGATGGTACCTTCTTGTAGCTGCTCAGGCAAGGTGTGGGGTAGGGGAGGGGGCAATTAGCCCTTACCTGGTGTCTCCTCTCCCATCCTCTTGCTCTGTGGGACTCAGCATGCATCCTCTTCATGTTTTGGGCCTCCAGCCAGGTGACTAACCAAGAAATGTTCAATTCCACCACTACCACTTCCCCAGCAGTGCTAGGGGAACACAGACCAACACTCCTAGCCACCTATTTTTCCCCCTTAATACATTCTTCCTTCAGGACGAGGATAGCCCCTCTCCCTTGGATTTCCTCCTTTAATTTTAACACCAGGATAGCGACTAGAGACTTACTTCTACTACTAATTTCCTGGCTGTATTTTAGTGTTGCCTGATCCTTCTCAGTTGGGCTCTGTTCCCAATCAGGGGCTGCTTGTCTAGCCTAATTCCTTCAGGTGTGGCCTACAAGTTAATCGGCCCTCATCGCTGCCTCATTAACCCTTTCAAGGCTGGTGTGGGTTAAACTCCCCATTCGAACATTCCAGACATAGAGTACTGCCAATACTACACCCCTGCTTCACCTGGGCTCCACTCCTTCCCCACTGTCTCCCTCTTTTCTCTACCTACCCATTCCAGTCAAATCTCCAAATCTAAATGTAGCAAATGATATTTGGAAAAAACACTCTTCTGAAATTTCTTTCTAAAGAAAATGGAGGATATTTTAATTGCATGTCAGTTTGTGAAGACTGGGCATGCAGAAGGTACCTAATTAAAAGCACTAAATTTGGGAATAAAAATGTCAGTCATAGGCTTTTTATATACCCTGAAGTTTGTCAGAGATGTGTTTCCAAAAGCTTTAGTGTGAGAGAAAGCCAGTCGTCCTGCCAAAAACACCATTAAATATTATGGAATACATGATGCAGCCCTTCTTTTGTTTTACATTTTCTTCATCGGTATTTCTAAGATGATTTTATATTTTAAATATGCTCTTACACCTTCATAAAATAATCATCCAGATTACTACATATTTAAACTCACTGAAACAAAGACATTGTTTTAAATTAATCAGTTGGAGCAGTGTAGTGTGCTCATAACAAAGTTCATTGCTTTTAGAAAAAGGAAACATTAATTTGTGATTTTCATAACAAGAGATGAGGAGTCCTGTGGCACCTTATAGACTAACTGAAGTGTAGGAGCATAAGCTTTCGTGGGCAAAGACCCACTTCGTCAGATGCATGTCATCTGACGAGCTTCTATTCTCTTGGAATTCACACCTCCAGATCAGCTGCTAGAAGTGGGCCTCATCCTCCTTGATTGGATCCACCTGGTCATCTCCAGCCTGATCCTGGCCTGCATATTTATTCCTGCCTCTGGAAATTTCCACTACATGCATCTGACGAAGTGGGTCTTTGCCCACGAAAGCTTATGCTCCTACACTTCAGTTAGTCTATAAGGTGCCACAGGACTCCTCATCGCTTCTGCAGATTCAGACTAACACGGCTACCCCTCTGATAACAAGAGATGTTTATGAAATTTCACACTACGTTTATGTTAAAAATATGTTTCCAAAGATTTTAGACATAACAAAGGATTTTATATCTTAGTAAGGTACTGATTTTGGTGGAGGATTCTCTTAAAACTAGTTCATCAAATAGAAGAAAGGGAAACTTATTTAACCAGATATCTGGAAGAAAAGTAATGTTGTCCCTTTAAGAGCTCTCTTCAACATGGGGTGAAGAGAAAGCAAAGGTGGATAAAAAGGACAGCAAGAGTTAGGAAGCAAGTTTTTGTACTATAGTAATTAAAATGAAAATGTGTATTTTAGATAAGGGAGGTGTTTTGAATAATTTATTAAAACCCCATATATCTGAAGAGCCAAGCATTTAAGGTTAAAGCTGAATACTCAGCTTGTGCATCCAAGTATCTATGCACAGATTTTTTTGGAAATGTGATTGTATAATCTTCAGCAACAAACTAATGAATATTTAAAGCAAATTTTAAATTAAGGTCCTGTAGACATAGTAATGCACAATTGTGTTTGTTAGTAAATTCAGGCTCGGCACATTCCTGTTAAATGTTTTCATTACCACTTAATGGTTCTTTCACAGGTTTGATGTTATGCTAATAGTCCTGGCTAGCTGGAAGGCTTTTCACTTTTAAGTTAACAGATCCACTGCGGGGGGAGGTAGACTAGCAAGCAGCAACAGCCTGCTGTGAGAGCCTTCAGGAACAGTCAGAATAGAGATAGGAAGAGGAGAGAGGTTGAGCACCAGGGGTACATCTAGTCTACACGCCTTTTTCTAAAGAGGCTTTTTCGAAATATACTTTAGAAAAAGCCTCTTTTGAAAAAGAGTCTAGATTGCACTAAGCCCGTGGTCACCAACAGGTCGATCGCGATCGACTGGTTGATCGCGAGGCATCCTGTCCGCCCCGCCCCCATTTCCCTCCCACCCCCAAGAAGCCCCACTACCTACCTCCAGCGAAAATGGAGGTAG